CAGTACAACCATTTATTTTCCACATTTAGAGAGCTCTTGATGTGCCAAATTAGTTGTTGATTACTAATAAATTTCAAAGTGTGGTTTTAAAGTATTTTGATACTTTGTAGTCTGTGAGCAGGTGGGTCTGGATCTTTGTTACCTGTTTTTTGGTTTTTTGTTTTTTTTTTTTTTTTTCAAAAATGAAAAGATTTCTCTGTTTACTTTTTTGGAGAGTTAGTTTAGTGTTATACAAAGAGTGAGGACATTGAGGTCAAAGGTGAAATGATGCTCCAGCTTTGAGTTTGCAAATTTCAAAGCAGTTTGTTAGTCACCTTGGATAAATCATTTTTTATGATTCGCCTGTTAATTTTAGGTGATAGTCATTAACCTCAAAGGTCTTGTTGGGCTCATAATATCTATGATTCTAGTTTCATTAACAGAACTTAAAGCAATTTTGCCATTTGCTGAGAATTCAAGATATCTTTGTAAAATACTTTAAAAATAAATCTTAGTATTACATTTATTTCTGTATCTGTCAGCCTCATTATATTTAAGCAGCTTTAACATAAAGTGTATTTATCTCTCTTTGTCATGATGCAAACCAAGAATATTTTCCCGAGGGGTGTGTGGGTGGCTCAGTTAGGTAAGTGTCCAACTTCAGCTTAGGTCATATCTCACAGTTCATGGGTTTGAGCCCCACGTTGGGCTCTGTGCTGACAGCTCAGAGCCTGGAGCCTGCTTCAGATTCTGTGTCTCCCTCTCTCCGCCTTCTCCCTCTCATGCTCTGTCTCTCTCCCTGTCTCAAGAATAAATCATTAAAAGATTAAAGAAAAAAGAAGAAGAATATTTTCCTGAGATGAATAACTGCCAAGTTTGAGTGAAAGAAGGCAGAACCCATGTGACGGTGGAAAAGTTACATCATGTTATCAAGAATTTTGATTTCTTAATTTTTTTTTTTAATTTTTTTTCAACGTTTATTTATTTTTTGGGACAGAGAGAGACAGAGCATGAACGGGGGAAGGGCAGAGAGAGAGGGAGACACAGAATCGGAAACAGGCTCCAGGCTCTGAGCCATCAGCCCAGAGCCTGACGCGGGGCTCGAACTCACGGACCGCGAGATCGTGACCTGGCTGAAGTCAGACGCTTAACCGACTGCGCCACCCAGGCGCCCCTGATTTCTTAATTTTACTACAAAGACTACCCTTCTCATTAACGGTCCTTAACTTCTCCCTCCTGAGATACTTCCAGACTTTTAATCATTCTTCCTTTTATGATTACCTGGGCAGCTCTTTGGGGAAATGCTCTCAATGCTCTCAGTGTTCAAAATTCTATTATAAACACTGGGAAACTGTCCTTTGATGTTCTCTGCTGAAGGTAGGTCTGCAGAGTGTGTGTTTTTGAACACAGATTAATGCAGTCAAATCTTCTCATGTTTGTCTCTGTCTTGAACATACCACTGAGACTTTCTTTGCATACTTATTTGTTATCACGGTACTTTAATTTTTGAAATTATATTATGGGGAAATATTGTTACCTCTATCCATTCAAAACATCATAGGGAGCTCATTACAATGCGATTTATAACATTTTATTCTCATTTTTACCCATTCACTCTTCTCTACAAGTACCATTGATTTTCCCATTGTTGTATTTATTTTTAATTTTTAAAGTTTGTTCGCTTGCTTGCTTGTGCATTTATTGATTGATTAATTGATTGATTGATTGATATTTTGGTGGGGGGGGGGAAGGCAGACAGAGAAAGAGAGAGACTCCCAAGCAGTCTCTACAATAGCAGAGAGCTGAACACAGAGCTCGATCTCAGGAACCATGAGATCATGTCCTGAGCTGAAATCAAGAGTTGGATGCTTAGTTGCCACTCAGGTGCCTCCTTCGCAATGTTGTTTTAAAAAATATTTGAATGGAGGTGAGAATATCATGTCAGTGGGAATGATTCTACTCGTAACTATACCTCTATTGTCTTTTTTCATGGGAGATTCCTAAAAGGTTAATACATTTTTTTTTTTTGATAAACTACACATTTTATCTTCTCAATTGTTCTGACAGATGATGCACTTGTGCAATCAACTGGCTTTTTCCCAGAAGTCATTTGATCATCTCATCCCAGATCTGTGGGATCGCTCAAACTTTGAGGAGGAGAAAGAAGCAGTCCATGGTCTGCTATCTTTGTGGTTCCGCCTGCTCCAGGGTCATACAAAGTTCTTCTAGTTTATCGAGGATGGGCTGTTGAAAGGATAACTTGGTTATGTCTTGATCAAGCTAACTTTTAAATGTAAAGAAATAAGATAATAGAATAGGTCATCAAAGAGGCAGCAATATAAGGTCATTGAGGGGACAACACTGGAGTTAAATTCATTGGTTTGCATCCTAATCTGGTCAGTTTAGTGGTTGTCTGACCAGGGAGATGTACTCAGTCTCGGTGCTTTGGTTTCCTCATTGCAAAGTGATGTTGCTGATAGAACCTGTCTCATAGGACCTTTGCATGCAAAAGGTTCGGTAAGCACTCGGTAACAGTCCACTATTCTTACTGATGTTATAAAGCTGAGACTGTTGTCTCTAGAAGAATCTGTCTTGAAGAGTTTTTATAATATTAGAATACTGTAATGTATTCTATAAAGCTGACTTGGAGATCACGGCACCGTAAAAAAAAAAAAAATGGTAAGTGTGAACATTCCTGAGTATTATTTATATGTAACATCCAAGTTGGGCAATTACAACCACAGAGCTGATGATTTTGTACAGAGGAGAAGAAATGCACACACAGGCAGGAACTAAAAATTGGAGAAGTAGTGTTAATTTATACATCTTAGATACCTTGATGCTTTTTTTTACATGTTTTATACTTTATTTACTTTTAATGTTTACTTTTTATTTATTTTTGAGACAGAGAGAGACAGAGAGAGAGAGAGCAGGGGAGAAGTAGAGAGAGAGGGAGGGACAGAGAGAATCCCAAGCAGGCTCCATGCTGTCAGCACGGAGTCCAGCCCAATGTGGGGCTTGAACCCACCAACTGTGAGGTCATGAACTGAGCCCAAATCAAGAGATGGACACTTAACTGACTGAGCCATCAGGTGCCCCTGTGTTTTATACTTTAAGAAAGACAGTGGACCATTAACACAAGTTGACTCTGTTAATTAGAGAATCATAGGTGCATCAAGTAGGGTCAGGAGTTTTTACATAGGGAAATCCCTGCCCTTACCTCTAGTCCCCAACCAGTCTGCAGCTGTCATCTGACTCAGTATTTTCACACTTGATAGGTACAAAAGATGGGTTACAATCATGGAATACATAGTAAGGGGAGACTTAGAATTAAAACTTTGGTGCTTATCAAGGTGCTTGGGTGGCTCAGTTGGTTAAGTGTCTGCCTCTTGATTTTTGCTCAGGTCATGATCTCAGCGTCATGAGATCGAGCACCACATTGGGCTCTGCACTGAGTGTGGAGTCTGCTTAAAATTCTCTCTCTCTCTCCTTCTGCCCATCCCTCCCTCTCATGGACGCTCTCTCTGTCAAAAGAAATTACATTAAATAAAACATAAAATTAATCATTAGAAACCCTTCGATGCTTATTATGTTATGTGCCCAATCCATAGCATCTTTAATTCCAGTATTAAACATTTTAAGAGCAAGAAATAGTTCTTAGAGAGTAACACACTTAAATTTATCCTGTTACTAATAGCAGGGGCCATAATGTGATCACAGAGCTTGTACATTTTTTCAATATATAAAAGGATGTCTCTAGCAACACCCTTTTTCAACATGCCAAGCAAATACTTCTCCTTCTGAGCTTTTGCACGTCATGCCCTTCATCTTTAATATTTCCACACTGTTCCTCACCAACTCAGAAGTCACCTCCTCAGAGAAATCTCTGCTCACTCTGTATGTCTGTGCCCTGCCTCCTCTTATTTCTTATCTCCCTAGCATGTGGCACTTTTGTCACAGCATGTCCACTCCCTGGAGTCTCTTGCTGGTATCCTTGTGTATTGCTTACTCCTTTTCCATGAGAATAAAGTACGAGGCAAGCCAGAATCTTGTACATCTCGTTCACCCTCAGATTTCCAGAATTTAGAACTCTTCTAGATATGACAAATATATCAGCCATATAATTGGCTTTGATGTTTGCGAATAAATTAGGATAAGCAATTATTAGCAAAGGTCCATTGGTAAACCAGTAATATGCCCTTCAAACCATTATTACTATAGGGAGCTTAAACTCCCAAGATGGTGCTAAGCCTACAGATACATCCTTGAGAACTTATGGCAAGTTTTTACTTGTTGAGAGAAGTAAGCTGGGCAAGTGTAGTAAATGGGAAAAATATTTGGGGAAACTTTCCCCTGTGATAACATTAACTGTGAAAAATGAATAAGAAGGTGTAGAATTGCTTCATTCTGAAAACCAGTGGAATCTGAAATAACATGTCACCTAAACTTCACTTCATGATATTTATCTGTTGACAGAATTTTAATAGGGGGTGCCGCACTCAAACAAGCACAGTGTGTAGCCAAACAAAATAAAATATAACCAGGAATTTCATATGTTGCAGGCATAAATCATATGCTGACATAAGGTAGGGCAAATATGTCAGTAACTAGATTGTAACACTAATGTGTAAGTTCGTAAGTTGAATAGGCTTTAGCCATTCCCTGACAACCTTCCGTCTGACTTGAATCATATGTGTGCCTTGTGATTTTAACATTATTATACTGCTCTAGCAAAATATAAATGTCCATTTTTAATAATATATGATACCAATGTAGGTAGTTGTCTATTTTACTGATAAAGAACTAACAAATATTGATGGCCATTACCTATAAGATCTACTACAGGAACTGATGATGCCTTCATATTCTTATCTTGCACATGGCACAATATTTGCATTGATTTTTAAATGATTTGAATTAGAATAAAGATATATATGACTCAAAAGTTTCAAGAAAAAAACAGATCCATTCATTTTTTTTTCCTCTCCATAGGCACTACAGACTGGCTCTGTGTTAAGGCAATGCCAAATTTCACGGATGTGACAGAATTTGTTCTTCTGGGCTTGGCCAGTCGTCAGGAATTTCAAGTTCTCTTTTTTGTGATATTCCTAGTAGTTTACATGATCACTCTTTTAGGGAACGTTGGTATGATCATTCTGATCAGCATCAGTCCTCAGCTTCAGAGCCCTATGTACTTTTTCTTGAGCCATTTGTCTTTTGTCGATGTGTGGTTCTCTTCCAATGTCACCCCCAAAATGCTGGAAAATTTATTATCAGAGACAAAAACTATTTCCTATGTGGGGTGTTTGGTGCAGTGCTACTTTTTCATTGCCCTTGTCCACGTGGAGGTCTATATCTTGGCAGTGATGGCCTTTGATCGCTACATGGCCATCTGCAAGCCTTTGCTTTATGGCAGTAGAATGTCCAGGATTGTCTGTGTTCGACTTATCTCTATGCCTTACGTCTATGGATTCTCTGTTAGCCTAATATGTACCCTCTGGACATATGGATTGTACTTCTGTGGAAACTTTGAAATCAACCACTTCTATTGTGCAGACCCTCCTCTCATCAAGATTGCCTGTGGGGGGGTCCACATCAAAGAATACACGATGATTGTTATTGCTGGAATTAACTTCACATATTCTCTCTCTGTGGTCCTCACATCCTACACCCTCATTGTAGTCACCGTGCTACGGATGCGCTCTGCTGAGGGCAGGAAGAAGGCGTTCTCCACCTGTGGGTCCCACTTGACAGCTGTGACCCTGTTTTATGGGACTCTCATATTCATGTACCTCAGGCGTCCCACTGAAGAGTCCGTGGAGCAGGGGAAAATGGTGGCCGTGTTCTATACCACAGTGATCCCCATGCTGAATCCCATGATCTACAGTCTGAGGAACAAGGATGTGAGAGAGGCAGTCAACAAAGCAATTGCCAAGGCAAATGTGGGGCAGCGAAACTGCCAAAAAATATTTGTTGTGGTATGTTGCTACCTGTTATAAATGTCCAGGCATAAAAGTCCCAATGCAACAAGGATTTTCTAAAGGTGACTCTTATATACAAGAAAAGGTCCAATCTAACACGGTGATGTTTTACTCCATGAATGGACTCTAACTGCTAAACCTGCTTTATTTTGTGTGTACAACCATCTGACAAACTGACATATTGGTGTAATTCACAGTGTATATAAAATTGGGATAAGTGTAGTCATTGGAGGAACTCGTAAATAAGTTGATAAGTTAATTAATTATAAGTTAATTTGTATGTGCCCTTATTAGAGTCAAACATGATTTCCTAGGGTTTTATTCTCTATACACATGCTTCTCCACCTACGTTTCATATGAAATTTATAATTTCATAAGAAAAAGAGTAAGAATTCATGTCTTTTTCATGACCTTCAGGATGTTAGTGGTCTCTGATTTACCAAAAAAAAAAAAAAAAAA